CGGCTCGTGTACTTCACCGCTCACTTCGTGGACTTTATTGTTAAGCGCTTCATGCATTTCAGTGGACATTTCATTATGCACCTTCTCGCACGCTTCGTCGCTCGCAGCCAGTAAACGCTCGTACTATGACAAAAAGATTTTCCCTGTACACTGAGAAAAAAATTTACCAAATTTTAATATTTCTTTGAATCCGTCATAGCGAAATATTTACTAAATGTAAACACGTATTAGATATAAGAAACATTAATTTGATATCATTTTTTTCATTTATCTAAAATTTACTTGCTGTAAGTAAATATTCCGCAGAACTATTTCAAGAAATTTCAATTAAAATTTAATAAATTTTTTTCTCAATATCCAAAATTACTACTAACTGCTCTTATTCTTAGAAGATATTTTTTTTTTAGCTTCCCGTATAGATGCGAACGAGATCTTTAGGGAATTGTCTCTTGTCAATTTTGATCTTTGGATATGTTGCGTAAGACATTAAAACTGTACAATATGAATTTTAGACCGCATATTAAACAAAGTGATTTTTACAGATATTTTGTCGCTGAAAATAAATTCGTAAATCCCGAAACACAATAAATGTAGTAAATTTTTACTCTTAAGAAATTGATTAGGCTCAATCGAACGTGAGAAAAATACTCGACTATGATTGGTTAATTTCTTAAAGTTTAAAGTTTACTACACTTATTGTATTTCAAGATTAATGTCCATTTCTACCATTGTATTATAGATTAACTGTAATCTCAATTTAATTTACTCTTTATCTTTTTCTAATTCTTGGAACTAGAAAAAGATATAAAGTAAATTAAACTGAGATGAGATTAAAGTTAATTTATATTGGAAAGAGGAACATAAATGGAATTGTCCCATCATGTCACATTTTTGAGATATTTTAGCTCAAACATGTCATTTTCAGCATATTAAGTTCATTTTTCCCAAACACGTAACCTCATACAGCAATTTCATTTACGGATTCATTTTCAGTGACAAAAAATCTGTATAAGAATCACTTGGTCCCGTGAGCTAGAAAAAATTTAAAATTTGTCAGACAGTAATATTAAATCCATCTTTTCTTTTTACGTTTACGCTTACTTTCAATGATCGAAATACTTCCCTGTGGATGACGATAAATGAAAAAAACTTAACATTTTCGAAAAATATGAATACACTGTTATAAAGAATATAAAATATCATAAAAACTTTTGTATAAAATATTCTTTCATATACCTCATGTTTTAAAGATATTCGCTGAAAATGAAAAAAATCCATTCTCGAGAGGTTGTTTCACGCTCGAAACCTTTAGATGCGCACATAAAAAAAATATAGGTCTAATATTTTTTGATTTTATGCCTTACAAATCCAAAGCTTATCAAAATCGGAACAGCTCCGATGGTTCCCTTGTTAGTGAAATTAATGTTTCTAGATGAAACGGAAATGTGAAGTAAATTTGTGCAGTAAATTAAAACTCCGATACAATCGTCAGTAGAAAAAGAGCAAAAAAGGATGGCGGGTCTCTCAAAAACAAGAAGAAAAAGAATGGAACCGAACAATTTGCGAGATTAATCTGTCCGTCTCAATTTCCGTCTCAATTTCTTTTAATCCGTCTACCTCTCGCGGGGAAATGATAGCTGATAAGAAATTAATAAAGAGTTCTTATACAACTTTTGCCGTGCGCAAATTTGAATAATTTAAAACGTATGTTCTTTTCCTGTCTCTTCCTCCTTTTCGTTTTTAGATAAAAAATTCTTTTTTGTCATCGAGAATGATATCTTTAGACATGTGGTATATTTAATTTTCTCTATATTTAATGTCTCGGCAAATATACGTTTAATTTCCTTCGATGCGCTTCCACTTTTCCGAATGTCGCGTCGCAAATTGCACAAACGCTCCGAATTATCGCGTGCAGGAGCAAAGTCAACATCGCGCGTCCGTAAACGTGTGTGCCGGGAATGTATCTTAAAACGGAGAGAGCGAGAGTTCTCCAAACGATCCGGAGGGCGATTTTAGCGACGTGGGGAAGGTGTCGGGAGGATCGATCGGTCCAATTACGGGAAATGCGGGGACCCGTACCTGCATATTCTGCAGTTTACTTATTTGCTGACGGACCAGACGAACCACCTTGCATTTCGCGTGTTGACAGTTCGCCAGGAACTCTGCGTTCGCCGTCCGATCGTCCTGCTCGTCGTCCCGCTCTAGACATCGGTAACCGTCGCATGTACGAGCGTCACATATCATTTTCATTGGCATATCGCAAATGATCCGTTGCGGCGCACTGGACGATTCTTGTGATCTAAAAGGATCATTTTTCTCAGAATAAACCCGGCGCGGACACAACTGAAGATGCGAGCAAGTTGGCGTGTAAATTGAATGGCGCGATCGACGGTTTTTGATCGACATTTGCAATTTCATGTGCAATTTCATGTAGCGTAAAGGAAAATTGTCGTTTTATCCTCATTCCATTGATTCTCGCCAAAATGATCATATGCAACAAAATCACATTCAAAGTTGAGCATTGTCCAACTAATAACTAAGCATCGCAGAAATACACGACACAAAGGCTACGTTCGCTTCGAACGCTTTCACGCTGTAAGCTTCATTCTATCTTCATCTCATTATGTAAGGAAATAAGATAGAATTAAGCTTACAGCGCGTGAGCGTTCAAAGCGAACGTATCTAAAGTTATATAGCGATGTAGTTTCAAAGTGATAGTGAATTCAACGAAATTATGGCTAATGAATCTTTAGCAGGTGCAGGAGACAAATCTATCTATAGCAGTTGCAGTTGTACGCATAATAGCAGTTGCAGCGGTTATGCGTCGCTTCTAAATATCTCCTGTAAACTGTATATGTTTGTACTCTTGTATATACTCGATGTATTGACTATTGTAATCCATTTACAATCAAACATTTACATCAATGTATTTTTTTACCTTTATTCCAATCTACTTCTCTATAAAAAGTTGCAATATTGCTTTATTTGCATTTCGCTATCTAAAAAAATTAAGCACTTGTTTGGCGTAAAAATACATTTGGCAGCAAAAAATGTAAGCAATGTACTGTAAAAAAATATATTCTTCGATAACCGACGTTTCCATATTCGTCATCGGCAAAATTAAAAGATAAATAATAGACCATGTGATTAATAAAAAAAACATGTCTGAAATTGGGTCGAATTCAATTTAAAGTCTAGTTATTAAAGTTTTGATTTAATTCGCACTTATTCAATTGCTGCACACGAATCATACCAGAGTGAGTAATCGTCAGGAACATTTTATTTATTTTTCATACTATAAAAAGCCAAATTAAATATTATAAATGAAGAGAGATACTTAAATACTTTTATACAATGTAGAATTAACAATTTTTATTAAGAAAATCACAATTTGAACTTACAAATTTACAATTACTTTTTCTTAAAAATAATTATTATAACTTACACACATATTATATAATATATACAGCGTTGTAAACTTTAAAAATACACATAAATATGTTACTGAAAATATATTCCTTTAATACTAGAAATATTAAGCGGTCATTAGTGACCGTTTCTATTTTTTAAATTAATAATATCTTGTATGATAGACAAGATTTGAAAACTTTATACTGATGAAATATTTGATTTTTATCACTCTTTTTTAATTAATTTGCTTGTTTAATTTTTTAATGAATGTCATATTTTCTCTATTATTTTATTTCCCTACTATTTATAAGTTAGAAAAATTACATACATAAATATATTTTAGGTCTATTATTATTATTATTATTAATTAAGTCTAGGTTTCTTCTCTGGTGGTGGTTTCATATCTTTTTTCTCAGTCTTCACTTCTTGCTTAATTTCTACGGCTGAAATAAAAAAAAATTATAAATAACATCCAAATAATGTTAGAATCGAGAAATAAAAAATAAAATAGCATATAAGTTATATGTACAAGGTTCTGTTGCTTGATGGACTGGCTTTGGTACTGGTAAAGGAAATTTACGAGTAAGCTCTGCAAGTAACATATCCACTCTCTGGCGTTGAAATAACGAGCTAGGTTCCTCACGTACTGGCGTTTCCTTCTTCGCAGCCAAAGCCTTACCATTTTTGAAATCCCAAGAATAGCCTTTACTGGGGTGATATCGAGAACAGCTGCTTGCCTCATCAAAGGCAGATTGTAGGTGGTGAACTGTGGACAGCTACAGAAGGTATATCTTTTAAATATAACTAAAAATGCAATATATAAAATGCATAATATATTAAAGAGGATACAGAAAATAATAATGAATAATCTGATAATAGTCAAATCTCAATAAAAATTTGAATGTATATTTTTTCTTGCTCACCAATCTAGAACTCACGACAGATCCTAAATCTGGAGCTTGGTATACAACACCAGCTATAATATAGTAATCGGCAACCGCTGAAGCTTGAGTTGGCGAATGTCTGAGTTGTTTCCTAATTACATACAGGATTGGCTCTTGCACGTGCAAAAGAATATACTCCAAGCCAGTCATATTGCTAGGGAATAGCGAGCATTCATGAATATGCTTATAATGATAAATTTATGCTTATATAAATATTTAATGTTGGGATTGATTGAGACTTACTTCAGTTGATCAGGGCTCAAACGCTGCATCTTGACTATCTCATTGTTGCAAGTCCTGTCGTAAAATGGATTGCTTCTTTCTGAGAAATAATCCATGATGTTGCTTGGATTAAGAACAGGAATCCAGGCGCTGTCATGCCAAGACAGGCCCAAAGGATTCTCTATAAGGAGAGAATAAAAAGAATTACCCCAAGTGTTATTAAAAACTTGAATAATGATTGATTACACAAACACAATAAAAATTCATAGATCTTCACCTTGTACCGGAGTTTTTCCGGGCATCATCATCACACTCAACAGAATTGTGTAAAAATCGCAATTAATGACACTATTTATTGTGTTAATCTTACTCCGGTCGCATGTATCGTTCTTTTGGCATTTCTTTTATTTACGTCGATTCTCGCGCACCTATTGACGCTTGTTGACACTTTCAATCTATAAGCACTATCGATAATACAATTTTCTTTAGTATCTGTTGTAGATAAAATTACTTTCATAATTTTTAATAATTAAAAAATTTGGAAAAAAAATCATCGTACAAACTCCAAAAAATATCTTATAAAAAAGTAAACTTCAGACGTCTTTCTAAAATCTTGAAATCATCTGTAAGGCCACTTTTGGTTAAGATTAAAAAATGTTTTAGCAATTTAGGAATTTTTTAAAATAGAAAAATCATATATATTGTACGATATAACAACCGTCGGAAATATTCGTGGATATGCGATTACGTGATACATGTTTTATCCCCATGGAGGCGCCACTTGACAAATTCCACCTTGAACTGTCTGAAACATGTGAGCATGTCTACTGTCATCCTCATGCTCCGGTATTTCGGTGCGCGCCGTTGCGCGACAATGATTCCGTCAAATTTCAGTCTTGTTTCGCTTGCCGTTCTGATTGCGGCGATTTCCGAGTCTGTCAATAGCGTCGCGTGCGAAAGGAATGTCTTGTTACGAGTGTCTGGACCTGCGAACTCCGTGTGATTCACAATGTGACCGCGATCGCCTGGTTTCCGAGAAAAACGCGCGCGAGGATCGCCGCACCGTCGACCCACAACGAACGACACTTCGCGACTGATTCCATTGAGATGCATCACCGGCTCGCGCGCTAAATGGCAGAGGTAAACGATAAAGAAAATTGCAGTTTCGTGTCTGTCCGAACTTCCAGGAACATCAGAAAGATCATCGAAAGATTCCCTAAAAAAAAAATCAAACGTTAATTAATCGACGCCGCGTTTGACAAGTCAGCGTTCGTCAGCTGATTCGTGAACTTTTTTTCGATATCACGGTGACTAGCTGCAATTTACCTTATCCTCGAGAACTATTTTTTTTAATTTTTGCAAGTAAAAGATACGCTATACGACTTTTATGAAGTCGTAAAAAAAATCACGGGAATTTCGCTACTCTGATTTTTGTAACGCATGAGAACGCTGGAAATTTAGTCGATCTATTGGTCTCGGGTTTCACATTCGCCGCTTAATCGCGACGTTCTCGCTTTCATAAACCTCTCCCCTCCTTCTTCCTTCCCCCTGGATTCACGTACAATTAAACATGAAGGTTAGAAAATTGTCGCGCAGCTCTTCCTCCCCCTCTGCGATGTGCAGGCGCTCGCGCGAATGAATCGCGTGCAATTCGTAGTGAATGATGAAACGGATTTATTATTCTTTTTTTTAAATCGTTTCTTTTAAACACCTATAACTTACGAAAGAATTCTATTTCTTTTTTTTTTTAAATAAAATGTGCGTTAAAGTTCTATTTTTTATATATAAAAAGGATAGGATATTTTTATTTATTTTTTTAAACGACATATTAACTTTTGTTAAAATTTTATTTTATTTTAAGTAAAAAGGATAGAATATATTTATTTTTTTTAATAACTCATAACTTCGACGAAATTTTATTTAATTTTTTGTTAAAAGGATAGAATATTTTTGTTTATTTTTTTAAACGATTTTTTTTTAAGTAAAAAGGGTACAATATCTTTATTCATTTTTTTTTTAAACGGCGTATAACTCATGTAGAAGTTTTATTTCATTTTTTAAATAAAAGAGATAGGATATTGTTCATTTTTTTAAATTACCTGTAACTGTTAAAGTTCTATATTTAATTTTTTTTATAAAATAGGTGAGATATTTTTGTTTAGTTTTTAAACTATTTATAACTCGTGTAAGATTTTATTTCATTTTATTTTAATAAATAGAGTAGGATATTTTTGTGCATTTTATTAAACGATCTGTTGGCGTTAAAGTCCAATTTTTTTTTTTTTAATAAGAAAGATATTTTTGTATATTTTTTAAAATGTCTCAATAATTCGCGTTAACGTTTTATTTTGTATTTTTTAATAAACAAGATATGGGATATTTTTGTTCAGTTATTTATTAGATCTATCAATGTAAATTGGATCTGATAAACATATATTTTCACGCTTGCATGCAACATTTATTTTCTTTCATAATTGAATAATGGATTTTTTTTTATAGAATAAATCAATTTTGACAATTTCTGCGACAATTATTGAGCAACAATTTGAACTTTATTGAAACATAAATTTATTGATTTTTTTTCAATAATCGCGACTTTCTCTTTGTTCCTTTTGCAAGAATTATACATACATGTTTCACTAACATGCAAGAGCTCGTCGTTGTAATTTCAATCAAGTAAATGGACGTCTTGCTTACAGCTCTCACGAAGCCTCACGAGCCGACGTGAATCCGGATTTAAATTCTCGAGCAACGCAGTTCAGTTGGTACATTGATTGGCGTGTTATCGAGGTAAAAAATATCGTGCTTAAAAAATATATAGTTATAAATTATCAATATTTATTATTTCGATTCGTTCAACACGTTACAGAATGCATTCTGGAGGGGATGATGACACCAAAAGAAATAGCATTGACAGTAGCAATTATGTAACGAGGACATAAACAGGATTTATAGGTACATTTCTAATTACATTAATGACCATCACTAATCTGTAGATCTTAATTGAAGAAATCGGCTCTATTCTAATTTAGAACCGTAAACAACTGTTTCTTCGAATGTTTATTATTTAATTTATGTAGAATATAAATTTTCATTTAAATGCCCACTTTCATTAACGATAGCGTGCTGTATAAACGATACAAACTGTAATAGTGATAAAAAGATAATGTCAGTTATTAAAATATCGAGTAATATTAGAAGCTAACAATAAAAAGAAAAAAATGTGAAGGAACAATTAAAGGAAGAGCTTATATTTCTAAATCGCAAATTATATCTTTTTAAAATGGATAATTTCATATTTGAAGAAGAAGGAAAATGATTTTTATTCGTATTGGGGTCTTTTAACTCTTTCTACGCTTTTCATTATTAAAATGATTCGAAAATGATGTATTTTCGTAGGTCTCATGATGGAGGACTACACGCCGATCGACGAGGACTTCCCAGGTCGGTTGCTGCACCAGGCCGCGCTCTGGGACAACGCTGAGTTGCTGGAGGATCTGCTGCGCGGCGAACACGCGCAATACATCAACAGTAAGGATTCGTGGGGTAGGACACCGATGCACGCGGCCGCGATCACGGAGAACTCCCGTTGCCTAGATGTCTTGCTGACCGCTGGAGCTGATCCGAATGTCACCTGCGGCCCCCGCGGTCATCATCGGACACCACTTCACGTTTGCGCGGAACATGGCCACGCCGGCAACGTGGAGACGCTATTGAACTTTGACGCGGATCTTATGATCCGAGACGATGACGGTCTGAAGCCTATCGATATAGCCGAGAAGAGCAGTCACGACTCCTGCATTCACCTCCTGAAAGTGGCGGCCGAGAAGTATGAACTTGCGAAACAGGCGACCCACGCTTCCTTACGTGCAGCTTGTATTCAGGGTGACACTGTGGCCGCTCGGAATATCATCCAGGGTTTGTCGACCGATCTGGAATGTGTGGTGAACATGGCACCGAACGGCGCCAACACGCTGCTCTTCGTCGCCTGCGAGAGCGGTCACAAGGACATCGTTCGGCTGCTGCTGGATCACGGTGCCGACTGCAGGATTCATCCGGTCACCAAATACTGTCCACTCTACATAGCGTGTTATCACGGCAAATTGGAGATCGTTGAGCTGTTACTCCGACATTTTCCCAAGCAGGTGCAACAGCTCACGGTAGAGCGCTGGCTGCCGATTCACGCGGCGACAATAAATGGCCATCACTTGGTGATCGACATATTGCTCAAATTTGAGTATCCGCAGCACGTCTATCAACGGTACAGGGATCCATCCGGTGAGTTCGAATATGAGCTACCGTTCGACATCAACGCGCAAGACGTCACTGGCCAGCATGCACTATATATAGCTAGCATACTGGGCAACGTCAAATGCGTCGAGCTACTTTTGGGTTACCGAGTGAAAGCGAGGACGACCAAAGAAGAGGATGGCGTGAATGGCGCGCAGCAACTTCCGGTGTCGAAGCGCAAGATTTCCAGTGGTATTCAGAGGCTGATGTCATCGTTGAATTTCCGCAGTAAAGCGCCCACAGACAAAAAGGACGATAAAATGATATATCCGGTGAATCTGGATCTTTATTGCAACAATGGTAGCGAAACAGCATTGCACGTAGCCGTCAGAGGGAAACATACCGAGGTGGTAAATGCTCTTCTTCAGGCAGGCGCTAATCTCGAATTACCTGTCAAAATTCCATACGATCAGAATGATCCCGACGGTAGTTATTCGAGCGTACTGACGATCGCATGTCAGAATCGCGATGTGAAAATCACGGATCTACTGCTGAAACATGGCGCCGTCGACAATGAGTGCAAAGCGTTGAAAATTGCTGCACAGAATCGTGACGAGGCGTTGACTGCGAAACTGCTGTCGATCAAGGCTCACCCGGATTCCGAGTATAAGATCAACAAGAAGGCGATGACCGAATGCACGCAGAGCTCACATTTCTCTGCTCTGTCGTCTTTCGGCCATGTTACCTATTCTACGTTGTTTCCGAAAACGCCCACAATGATCAATTGGCACAACCAGCAGTGTCATCTCTCGCAAATCCGGCTGCAGTGGTTGATCGACGCAGTATTGCATGTCAACAAGAAGCTGAGTTCGAAGAATAATGATCTAGTGTTGTACGCCATTACGCGAATTGACATCTCTCTCAACTCCATTACCTCCGTACCGTCTACCATATTCTATTTACAGAGTCTGCGGTATCTTAACATGGCACAGAACAAGATTGACACTTTGACGGCCGACTCGAAGAATCCAAAGGACAAGCTATGCCCGGTTCTGGAGGAGATGTATTTACAAGACAATCGACTGGAGCAGTTGCCAGAATTCATTATGAACTTACCGGCGCTTGAAATTATGGACGTGTCCAACAACAAACTGCAGTGTTTGCCACAGAATTTATGGCGTGCGCCCAAGCTGAAAGAACTAAACGCCTCGTTCAATCTACTGCGTGATCTGCCCAGTCAGGCGTCGCAGAACGTCTTAAGGAAACCACAGCGAGGTGAAGAGGCACAACAGAATGGCATCAACTTTCGCGGACTGGCTGCTGTGCCGCGAATAGAGTCCATGGAGTTCGACTCGTTCACAAAGATCGCGAACGCGCAAGTAATTGAAATGGAAAGACCACACGTATGGACCAGTTCGGTCCAGGTGTCGGAGAGGATCACCGATGACACGGAGAACGGCAACAAATCAGTATTAGCGTCATTGAATCTCGCGCACAATCTTTTTAACAGCATTCCCGTGGCGTTGCCATGTTTGGCGGTGAGCTTGGTGCGATTAAACATGGCGTACAATTCTCTACGCTCGATGAGCCACATCACTTCATATCCGGCGAGCTTAAAACAGTTGGACCTATCAAACAATCAGATCACGCGATGGCCCAGTCTACCGCAGGTGGACAGCTCTGACAGCATGGAACAGGCGAATACAGCCTGTTATTGTCCGGTTGTCAACGCACAGTCGCCTAGTATTGTGCCCGGTAATCGACAAACGCCCACATCGATGCGTGATATTGTGTTGCAATCGGTGTGTGTACATAGACGACATCTACGATTGGAGAACCTGCGCACGCTGATCCTGGCGAACAATCTACTGAATCGTATTCAGCTAACATC